GGGTCTAGGCCCGAAATGTCAGCCTTCCTGCTCCTACGATGCTGCTTGGCCTGCTGTGTTCATCCAGCTCTGCACCTTGTAGTCTATGTGATATCATCTGTTTACGTAACCGAAAGCATTCGATGTTTCTAAATTAGTTTGAAATAGTGCTAAATATTATTTTCCCTCTGCAGGATCTGAAACCAAGCAATTTAGCAGTAAATGAGGACTGTGAATTACGAGTAAGGATAACTTAGTTCTCATGCTATTTAATGCATAATTTAAGAATAATTTTTTTTACATCTTACTCTTCCTCCACTTCTTGCTCTTAACATATAGTTTTATATTGTTTATCTAACATACAGATTCTAGATTTTGGGTTGGCACGGCAGACCGATGATGAGATGACTGGTTATGTAGCAACTAGATGGTATCGAGCGCCAGAAATAATGCTAAACTGGATGCATTATAATCAGACAGGTAAAAGTAATGCTAACACCTATAAAAACACTGCTCAATTTTCAGAATCAATGCCAAGGATTCTCTAAGTATAGACTCTAGAGTAAGTGTTCCATTCACAGTGTTGCATCATGGGACTGGCAGATCTTAGATTTTAACATTTTACAAATGGTCGACCAGTCAAATCTCTGGCTTTGGACCAACTCTATTCCATGTAAGCTCCCATCCCAGACTGGGCATCTGGCCAGGAGCTCACGAGATATGGGGTTAAAAAAAAAAAAAAACTGGCATAAATACAGCTGCAAATTAAAGACATGGATAGGATGAATTTTTCCTTTCTTTGGGCATATTTTCAATCTTTACATCTGGGAAAAATAATTCTCAAGAGAATTGGTAAAATGCCAAATTAAATATATAATAGTTCCCTATTTGTGTTTTCTGACTTTCTGCAAGACGCGCCTGCTAAGTCCTATATGCCATTACTCATATATAATGAAAGCCAATGGAACTATAGTTCTGATTCTTACGTTTACATTTACACTGCACGGAATAAAACATAGATTAAGTTGAAAAATACCTTCTGTGCATGTTTGTGTGAGAGAAAGTGTATGTTTTACCCTCTCTTGCTGTACAATCATTTTGAAGAAAATATTTGAATAGAAACTGAACGATAAAGGTAACCTTCCTGCAGTACAACTGGTTGAATGATACTGAGGCATTACATGGAGTACATATGTTCCAACTGCACAATCAAAACTCAGCTCAGTCAAAACAGGCAAAAAAATAACAAGCCCAGGCCTTGAGAGATAAGTGGTAGATATGGTATATAGAGATTTTAATATGTGTACTTTTTTCTGTATTTCGTTCAAATTTTTATTTTGAGAGCAATAAGTATTTCAGTTGCTTAGAAGAAAGTACTTAGAAACAACTTCGCAGAGCATTTGCAGCAATCTCTAGGACAAGATGGCCAGATTGCACAGAATGGGTCAAACCTTTTAAAAATGTGCATTGTCTCCACCAGCCTTCCTGTGAACTCTTCCTTGGCTTTGCTGACTGCTAAGTTGGTATGAATAAAGAGCTTTCAATGGCACTTAAGATTTTGAATGATCCTTTTATTTACTGACTGAATTAAGAACATAGCACCTGCATCAAACTAATTTAATAGTTTGTACTCTATGTGTAAAAGTAGACAGAGCAGTTATACAAAAATATTTTCCCATCATTTTTCAATCAAGATTTTGGATCTGGGTCGCAAAAAAGAAAGCTAAATTAATGCAAACTTTGGCTATCCAAGCCTTGGGTCTGTGATTACCAGTTTGGATTCATACTGTGGCTTTAATGTATGAAAGCATCCCAAGATGCTTCACAGTAGCATAACTCAAAATATGACACTGAACCACATAAGGAGATGTTGGTCTGATGTCAAAGTGATAAGTTTTCATGAGTGTTTTAAAGGAAGAAGATGAGGTAGAGAGGTGGAAAGAGAGAGGAATGTGTTCTGGCACTTGAGGCCCAGACAGTTGAAAGTACAGCCCTCTCCCTCAGGTGGAATGGTGGAGCCTCCTGTTGACAGGTCAGGGTGAGGCATGAGTCTGAGGCACATTCAGCAAACCGCTCAGTATGGACCTGTTAGGCTGTGACGGCTACAAGAGAGACCCAAGCGGAGGGGAGCTGCTTATGCAATGATGGCCTGGTAGCTGTGGTCACCTACAATGTATAAGCCTCCCTCGAGGTGCTCATGTGATCTCCCACCAGCAGTGACAGCCTCCCTCAGTAGGGCTGCCAGCCCTCCAGCATCTCGGGCACCCCTTTGTGCTGTCTCCGGGGGCTCAGTTGGCTGCCTCCTTGTAAATCTTCTCCAGGGAATCAGCCAGGGTCAGCGCCAGGTTCCCAGAGTTGCAGCCCATCATTCAGATCAGGATGCTGAAGTTAAAATTCAGCCCATTATCTCAATTTAAAAATTATTCTGCTTCTACTTGAATCCAAAGGTGACATCTAACTGATATTAGATAAATCAAACCTGGTTATATCAAGTTTTGGTCAGTTTACAATGCTGATATAAATGAACCATAAACCATTAGAAGATATAACATTGCAATAGGAGTAGGCTGTTAAGTCAGTTTAACTGTTCAATTAGATCAGACCAATCTGTGAACTGACTACATAGACCTACCTAGCTTTATCCCACACAACCTTTAATTAATAAAGCAAATCTATTGATTGTTACTTGCAGAAGAGAGAGTTCCAAAACTTGTATGACTAATTTTTAGATTGTGCCCCTTAATCCTAGACTCCCCATCCAAGGGAAACAAGTGAGTAATCACAGCTTAAATTGGTATTGAATTCAAGCCACGAAAACATGTTAAGCACTTTACCTGAAAAGAAAACTTGCAGAGTCTGCAATGGTAAAGTTGTTGCACTAATGCACACAGTACAGATTTGGACTTGTTTCAGGTATTTTTCTTCTAAATTCTTTTTGTTTTGTTTCTGCAGTGGATATTTGGTCTATCGGATGCATTATGGCAGAGTTGTTGAAAGGAAAAGCCCTCTTCCCAGGAACTGATTGTATCCTTGACAAGTTGTTTGTTTGATAGTATTTATTCAGATATTAGACTGGTAAATGGAACAAACAAAGTAAAATAACTTGTTCCTGAAAGAATTCGAAATACAAGTTAACCAGAGTTACATTGAATCCTAGGTATAGTACTGATCCATGCAGCTTAATAGGTGTATTCTTGGTCTATAAAGCTGTTGTATTGAACAACACCCCTACTGAAATGAAACCTGGATCGTCCACCTCCATTACAGTAAGATTCTAGAGTGCTTCCACCAGCAGTACTCACTTTAAACTCTAAGGATCAAATGGGAGAACAGCTGGAACAATGTGAGCACCCTCATGAAGCTATACCTCCCAAGATCAAAGGCACTGCCCTGACGCTCTGACTCTACCTGATGGGCCTTGTATCCAGATGTCCAAAACCTGTCTCCCTTTGCAGGTTCTCGTCTTCCAGCTATCCATTGGCAAATGCTCAAAAGGTTGGGCAAAGGAAAAAGTGTAAGGAGAAGCTCAAGGTTACCCTAAAACAGAGGTTTTGACACCACTGTCTGGGAGAAGAATGCTGCCAATGGCTCAGCCTGGCATCTCCCAAATCATCAAGGCTCGAGATGCTGAGGCTCAGTGACTGACTGAGAGGGCAAACAGCAGCAGCTGGGGAACCGTGATGCCCACCCAATGCTGCAAATTCCAACTTCTTGATGCAATAATGTGTTCCTATTACAGAAAAGCTACAAAATTGGGCTTATCTAAGGCCTTCATTTCACCTGACAGGCATCATCTTCAATTCCACTGCTTAAAAAAAAAATAGAAGAAATTGCTAAAGTTTTAATTTTTCACCAAAATGAACCAGAGCTGATCAAAAGTTTTTGATTGGTATGAAATGTTAAAAAAAAAAAATAGCCCCCCTCTTTTCTCAAATTATTACTGTTAATAGTGAAATTGTAACTTTGTGCATCTTCATTTTCCTAGATAGTGAGCTTTTCTAATCTTGTATATTCTACAAAATATGTTGAGAGCAGCTTAAGCTGCAGAGAGATATTGTGACTCGTCAACAAGAGCATTCTCTTTTCTCCTGCATACTTTCTTATAATGACACAGATATTGATCAACTGAAGCGAATAATGGAAGTTGTTGGAACACCAAGCACTGAATTACTAAAAAAGATATCTTCAGAACATGTGAGTGAGTGTTTGATTCTAACAGTAAAAACTGTTCAAACTGGAAGTCATTTATCTCTGCATATAGTCACGCGGTATCAGAGTGGAAAGTAAATAGTAACATTTATGATAAAATTCTGCTTTGGATAGATAGGTTTTTCACCCTTTCTGTCCAACATGCTTTTACTGAATTATTATTCCAAGGTAATTGTGACAACTAATTGGTAAACGTTCATGTGATCCTTGGAATGTGTATTAACAGACTGTTCAAAAACATGAGCCATCATAAATAAGGCCTGTTGAACAGAAGCACACTTCAGGCAGGAATTTGCAAAGTTACAATCAGCCACAGGAATCCCTAATGGATGGGTTTCTGTAAGCGATTGTACTAGTTCCTGCTATGGCCAAAGCTGAAATTCAGACTAATTCAGACAAAACAAAAACATGAAAGCATCAAATAAATGTTTTCCCTCTAATGGACAGCATAAATGTAAAAGACAGGTTTGCAATCTCACAGCACCTACCTTATTTAACCTCAGTACACCCCAAAGCTCATTACCCTCAAAGCATCTTCAGAGGGTAGACATGTTACAATTTAGGAAACACCAATTTGCACACAGTTCATAATACACGTAGCAATCAAGGTTCTTCTATGGTGTGTTTTTATTTTCAATAAATTATTGACCAACTCGTTTTGCCTTCGGCAAAGTTTCCAGCAACAAATGTTGCTTACAAGTACTCAGCAATTGTAACAAACATTTTGGCACGAACAGTCCATGTTGGTTTTATCTCCTACTCAATCGTTATTCTCATCCCATTTGCCAACCTTATCCCCAAATCTTTATCTTGCTTTCCTTCAATCACCCATCGAACATATTCTTAAATGTTCACATGGTTTCTAGTTCAATCAATTACTCCAGTAGTGCTTTCCGCACTCTCATGACCCTCCGACATAAGCGACTCATGCCTTTATATCCATCTTATCCTGGTGGACAGAAGATTGCTAAGTGCATTTGATCTTGCAGTAAAGGCGTCCACACTTCTTGCCATGCTATCATGCCCATTGCTAAAGAGGAACATGTTCATTCTATTTATGAATTGAGAACATGACCTCATAGCTTCAGAGTTTTTGAGTTTCATCTGTTCCAGCTGGTTAACCGCACAGTGTTCCTGAGCACAGTAATGGTCTGAATGACACTACACATCCAGTCAGAGACAATCCTGGGCTCAGGGTTACCTCAATATAAAAAGAGAAATTTTGGATATTTTAAAAGATTTTATATAAATGACCTGAAAACTAAATTAGCCAGACTTCACACAATTCTGAATCTACTACTTGCTACTTTATTCTATAACAATAATAATAAAACTGCACTGCTTCACAATGTTTTCTCAAATCTTGGCTTTCCATAAAATAAACTGCTGGGACAACCTAAGAATTACTTTTCTTTAACCTCAGCAATGGTTTGAAATGAGTTAACCTGCCAAATGAAGAGCTGGCTTGAAAACAACTCAATTAATAATCATTGCAAAACAATACCTTGCCATTAGTTTTGGAGATTCACTTTATTTTCCTTGCATTTGTTTTAATTCTTAATGGGATGCAGGCCTCACTGACTAGGCCAGCACTTATTGACTTTCCCCAGTTGCCAGAGAGTAATGCTGTGGGTGGAGTCACATGTAGGCAAAACCGGGTAAAGAGGGCAGATTTCTGTTCACTAAAAGCATATTTGTGAATGAGGTGGGCTTTTAACATTATTAGGCTTGGTTTTTTATTAAATTTAAATTTTAACATCTGCCATGGTGAGATCCGAACCTATGTCCTAAGAACATTAGCCTGTGATCCTGGATTGTGGACAGTGACATTACCTCTACCACCCCTTACAGTGTAAAGGCAAAGTTTTAATATTTTCTTAAGTAAAATAAAATGATCACACTGAGAACATCAATAGCTCACTATGGTGGCTTCTGAATCATGTCTGAATTGTTCTGGTTCCTGTTTTCGAGCCTGGAGGTCCTTGATCATGATGAGGGAGCCTGAAAATAAAACAGGTTTTTCCTTTTACCATTTTATTGCTTTTTAGCAAAAAGTAGAGGTTGCAGGTACAGCAGAATGAGAAAGCTGGATGTGGGGAAGCAAGGGAATAGTAACAAAAGAATATTGTACAAATGGAAAGAAAAATGAAGGGTTAATTGGAACAAAGGGTGTGACAGCAAGAATAAAATATGGAGCACTAAAAATCAAGTAGAGTGAAAATTGAGGAAAGTAGGAAGAAATTCAGTGAAAAGTGAATTAATTCAATAGAGATTAATTAAGCAATTTTGGCAAAACCATGACATGATTAATGAAAGAGAAAATAAATATTCATGACTTATATTTCTGTATCACCTTTATCATAACAAAACATATTAGATTTTGGGATACGGGACCAGGTACCCAAGGTTGGCAGTTGACTATTCAGAAGTAATTTTCAGATAGTTTATTAAATTTAAGCAGTAGTTTAATAGACAGAGAGAATAATTATATGACTTGTGACAATTAGGGTTTGATCAGTGATAGCTGAGGACGAACAGACAGTTGGCACAGTGTGTGTTGATCTCATAAGAGCTGTGGAGGCAGTATCCTGCTCTCAATTCAAAGTGTTAGGGAACTCTGCTTAGTGGCTTCCTCCTCCTCTTCTGGGCCATCTTCCATCTGAAGATGATAGTTGTCTGACAAGCCATGCCCCTCCCAATTCTGAGCACTTGTTAATAATCATTATTTTTAGGGGGTTAGAAGATTATACAATAAATGCAGCACAGGCCAGGCTACGCAACTGACAGGATAGTCATCTCCCTCTTGGCCCACCTCCTTGCTCAAGCTGAATTTACATTATGCCAGGATTGTCTTTTTCTAAACACTTACATGGATAGTAGGTTACCAATGTTCCATTTTCGTTAACTTGGAATGTTAGTGTGGAAACCTGACACAATTAGTGACCCAGATATTCCCAGAACTGTTTTAAGCATCGATTTCCTTTCTTTGGAGTTGAATAATCAATGCAAATTTCATAACATTTTTATTATGTGGAAAATAGCTATTTATTAAGGGTCTTAGTTTCTTATAATCCCAAGGTGCTTTACACAGGCAAAATATGACACTAAGTTGAAAAAGGAGATATTAGGGTAGATGTTCAAAACTTTGGTCAAAGATATCAGTTTTTAAAAAGGTGTGTCTTTAAGAAAGGAAAAATATATAGAGGAGGTTTAGGAAGGAAATTCCAGAGTTTTGGGCCTAGACAGCCTAAGGCACAGCATCAATGGAGGAGTGATTAAAATCAGGACTGCTTTAAATGCCAGGAGCAGAGGTGGATAGTTATCTCTGACAGTTGACGGGCTAGAGGAGGTCTCAGAGGTATGGACGGATCAGGCTTTGGATGGATTTTAAAACAAGAGTGAAACTGTGAAATTGAAACAGTGTTTAAATAGGGAGCCAATTTAGGTCTGCAAGTGCATTCACTGGTATTAGAACCTGATAGACTTACTTCTCACTTTCTCCAAGTCATTTTAATTTTAATTTACATTTCCTCTCTTATTAAGTTTCTGTAATATTTCATGACTTAGTTATTTGAAATATGTTGACCTGAAGGCTTGCATAAACATTACTGGTCTTTGTTTATTCTCAACACCATTAAAATTTTATCCTGGATTTTGTTTTAAAAACTTTGGAGATCTTGTTTCCAACTCAGTTATTTATATGGAAAGATTGTGGTGTTGTATCAAATTCTAAATAAATAATCAAGAAAATTGATTGGCAGCTTGTTAATAGATCCTTCACGTTTTAACAACACAACAATATGAATTCTTTAAGTTGATTAGTGACTAATGAGAAATAAATGTCAGCATGTTGACAATATAAGATTACCCGAACTCAAATTCTAATCTGAATTTTAAAATCTGCAAATGACAAAATGCCTTGAATTTTGAAGAGATCTGATGGGATCTGGAGAGAACATAAAATTTATTAAGTAATCTTCAGACAGAAGGATGTTACTTTGAAACCTGACCCCAACGAGGTACAAAGTTGCTGCTTTGTATATATAGTAAAAACAAACTCAAGAACCTGTTTATACTCAATAAACAGGAAGGTAATGAGAAAGACAGAGGAACTGAGAGACGTGGAGTGCATATCCACCAATCCCTGAAGGTGGCAGAATAGGTAGTTAAAGTGATAAAGAAGACATATTGGATGCTTTCTTTCATTGGGCAAGATATTAAATACAAAAGAAGGAATGCCAGATCTATGTAAGACATTGGTCAGGCCATAATTGGAGTTTTGTATACAGTTCCAGTCATCAATTACAAGAAGGACAAAATTGCTGCAATGAGAGCACAGAGGAGATTTTATGAGAATGTTGCTAGGGTTCAAAATTGTAATTATGAGCAAATGTTAGATAGCATTGTTTTCCTTAGAATAGAGGCAGCTGAAGGGTGGTGTAATTGAGGTGTTCAAAATAATGTGGTGGGGGTGTGGTGCTTGGATAGAGTAGGCAGTGAAGACTTGTTTTCTGCTGGGGGAAGAGGTCAGTTACTAGGGAGCACAAAATTAAGGTGACCAGTAAAAGGAAAAACATTTTCATCTAGAGGGTGGTTGGTGTCTGGACTTCACTGCCCAGTTTGATGGTTGAGGTGGAAACCCTCAACTCATTGAAGAGGAATCTGGATCTGTACCCGAAGTGCTGTAATGTACAAGGCCACAGACCTGGTATGGGTGTAAAATGGGCAGTTAGATTATTCACCAGGAGCAGATGCAATGGGCTGAATGGTAGCTTCTGAACTGTAATTTACTATGGTTCCCATGGTTTTAAAATTCCAGAATTGCGTTTCATTGGTGAAGCAGAAACTGTATCTCACGTTGTGGCAAGGATTTAATGCATGTTTGAATTTATCCCTAGAACCTGCAAAGACACTTCAGTGTCACCCACTTATCACTGCGAGATGGTTTACAAGTAGTGAACTTGAAAATGAAAAATGTTTACAGTTATCTAGACATCAGTCACAAATGCTGCCAAACATCGTTTACAAAACCTAAAACCTAAACTGTCTATATTTTCTTGTGGATGTATGCAGAGTTATCCCCATTCCACCATTGCAGACTTCATTTGCAATGGATAAGCATAGATTTGATGCTCATTCATGGTGAATCGTGCCTCCCAGACCACAAAAAGGTGATCAAGCCATAGCCTCAACCTAAATTACATTAAAATCTATCCTCCTGGAAACACACAGGAGATTGAATTTGCACGTGGGTTGTCCCAATTATGCTGCAGGACTTTGGCTGACAGACCATGGAATTCCATGTGCACTGTTTCTCGGAGGTCTGTAGGGAAATTGTTGGTAATTTATAGTAACAAAATTTCAAAATACTATGTACATTTTTGACAAACATTGTACAAAGCAGTGTTTGAAAGAGGAACCCTATGCTTGTGCTTGCCATTGTTCGCACATAGTGAAAAATTATGATTGCTAATCGTTAATGCAAAGCATGGCAACATTTTTCTACCACAAGCATTAACTGAAAATAAATGCCTTTTAAAGCAATAGCTCCCAAGGATTTCATTTCAAGCTTCACGCCAATAAATTTCATTAACTACAACCCAGTGGTTATATTGGAGATCAGACTCTCTTTCTTTCTTCATTTGTGCTGTCCCACAATGCCCATATGCAAAATTCTAATCTATGTAACTGGCACAACTGTTTCATGGTCTTGTGACCACCCAAACTCCATAAATTCTGTCTTCACTGGAAAAATTCTTTTAAAAGGTCACACTGCTGTGACAGAGTCATACTTTAATTAAAAATATTCATGCAACAAGAGCACACATCACTCAAAAATACTAACTGATTTAAAGAGAATGTCAGCCCCTTTCCTTCCTGTTTGTCCCAGGCATATTGTCCTCCCTGGCTGAGATGGTGATGAATTCTGTGTCTCCCGTAACCCAATTGCTATGGCAGTCAGGAGCAGTATTTGCCTTTCACAATCCAGATCAATCATCAGTAAACAGTATTTAGAAACCCTGACTTGAAGCCCAATGGAAGCACCTGTTAACAGGTACAGGTTTATGGGTGGCAGGAAACCAGGGCACAGTGAGCACACCTTGAGTACTGCTTAACGTGTAATCATTCATTCTTTGCTCCTGCTTCTCCTCTAACTAGCACTAATGCAAAGAGCATTCTAAAGGAGAAAAACATACAGTTGAGTTGAAGGAGTATCTAAACAAATAAATTGATATACCCACTAAATTTATTAAGTGAATGGTGCCAAAAATATTTATAACAAAAGGGTAATATTTATTGTGCAGTTTAAAAACCAGAAACAAAACAGACTGCATCAGAGCACAACTTTAAATGTTTTGCATCACCAGGACAAAATCCAACATCCTGACCATCGAATTTCATCTTTATCTAATTGTAATTATATTGGAACAAAGCTCCCTTCGGTTGTTGACAGGAAATTTCTTGTTCCAAACCTCAGTTCTTGGGCAGCACGTTATAGATGCAATGAACACAATCTCTGCCTGGCTTCCACCGCTACCAACATTCTCCCCTTTACCCTCACCAAGATTGCAAAAGCCCCCTTAGATTTGTGTTGAGATTTTTGCAGATGGAAAGCCCTCATTTCTGCATTAGCCAGTAGGCTGTAAACCCCTTTGCAAGCTGCCATTTCAGTAAATGATCTGTTGGGAAATAGACTGTCTGGGATACCCATTTGTGTCCTTTTCTGGAGATTAGCTTGAATGACGCTAAAATGGTTTTTAGATTAGAGTGGGAGCCAGGCAGATAGGGTAAGAGAAACACGTTCTCTGTCAGAAATTTCACACCAGTAATATTTTAATTCCTGCATTTCTTTAGCATTTGATTGGCAAGTTTCCCATCCAGTTACATCAGGAATGGGCAGCCCAACCACTTCCAAGCAGTCATTTTCTTGTGGGCTTTCAGAACCATATTAAAAGCAGGCATGCCCTTCTACTAGAAGCTTGCATTCACTGTTACTTTCAGGTGATGCAAACAGGAAGACAAGTCAGAAGCAAACACCTCTTGATCACGTTGGCATTTCCTCCAAAACACTGAAGTTATCATGCTTGCTGTTCTAAGCTGTGAGAGCTTAATCAAGGTTCACAAGGAAAAGATCAGAAGCAAGGAGTCCTCAAGCTCAGAAATCTCCTCAAAGAGACAACGATACACAGATCCCTATGATCTGAATTCCACCATTATTTCTTTCACTGCTCTCCAGTCAGCTTCTGAAACCAATCCATATGATTTTACTGATAGTAGGAACTGCAGATGCTGGAGAATCTGAGATAACAAGGTGTAGAGCTGGATGAACACAGCAGGCCAAGCAGCATCAGAGGAGCAGGAAAGCTGACGTTTCGGGCCTAGACCCTTCTTCAGAAATTGGGGAGGGGAAGGGGGTTCTGAAATAAATAGAGAGAGAGGGGAAGGCAAATAGAAGATGGATAGAGGAGAAGGTAGGTGGAGAGAAGACAGACAGATCAAAGAGGCGGAGATGGAGCCAGTAAAGGTGAGTGTAGGTGGGGAGGTAGGGAGGAGATGGGTCAGTCCAGGGAGGACGGACAGGTCACGGGGGTGGGATGAGGTTAGTAGGTCGGAGATGGGGGTGGGGCTTGAGGTAGGAGGAGGGGATAGGTGGGAGGAAGGACAGGTTAGGGAGGCGGGGACGAGCTGGGCTGGTTTTGGGATGCGGTAGGGGGAGGGGAGATTTTGAAGCTTGTGAAGTCCACATTGATACTATTGGGCTGCAGGGTTCCCAAGCGGAATAGGAGTTGCTGTTCCTGCAACCTTCGGGTAACATCGTTGTGGCACTGCAGGAGACCCAGGATGGACATGTTGTCTGCAGAACGGGAGGGGGGAGTTGAAATGGTTTGCGACTGGGAGGTGCAGTTGTTTAGTGCGAACCGAGCGTAGGTGTTCTGCAAAGTGGTCCCCAAGCCTCCGCTTGGTTTCCCCGATGTAGAGGAGGCCACAACGGGAACAGTGGATGCAGTATACCACATTAGCAGATGTGCAGGTGAACATCTGCTTGATGTGGAAAGTCTTCTTGAGGCCTGGGATCGGGGTGAGGGAGGAGGTGTGGGGGCAGGTGTAGCACTTCCTGCGGTTGCAGGGAAAAGTGCCGGGTGAGGTGGGGCTGGAGGGGAGTGTGGAGCGGACAAGGGAGTCACGGAGAGAGTGGTCCCTCCGGAAAGCAGATAAGGGTGGGGAGGGAAAAATGTCTTTGGTGGTGGGGTCGGATTGCAGATAGCAGAAGTGTTGGAGGATGATGCGTTGGATCCGGAGATTGGTGGGGTGGTACGTGAGGACAAGGGGGATTCTGTTTTGGTTGTTATTGCGGGGAGGGGGTGTGAGGGATGAGTTGCAGGAAATGCGGGAGACACGGTCGAGGGCATTCTCGACCACAGGGGGAGTTGGGGCGGGGGGTGGCGGTGGGAAAGAGTTGCGGTCCTTGAAAAACGAGGACATCTCATCCCACCCCCTTGACCTGTCTATCCTTCCTGGACTGACCTATCTCCTCCCTACCTACACTCACCTTTATTGGCTCCATCCCTGCCTCTTTGACCTGTCTGTTTCCTCTCCACCTATCTTCTCCTTTATCCATCTTCCATTCGCCTCCCCCTCTCTCCCTATTTATTTCAGAACCCCCTTCCCCTCCCCCATTTCTGAAGAAGAGTCTAGACCCGAAACATTAGCCTTCCTGCTCCTCTGATGCTGCTTGGCCTGCTGTGTTCATCCAGCTCTACACCTTGTTATCTGATATGATTTTACTCATCAGTTTGACATTGAGTAAGATGTTTGATTTTTTACATTAAAAAACACAATGGGCCTGAACTGCATTTCGGTACTCCAGTAGATGCGTATGTGAGAAGCATCTGCCTGCTTCCGCAAACAACATCGACCACTTAAGAAAACTAATGATCAATTCCTGTCCACCACTACTTCAGAGTTCAATGGTGTAGTAGGATGTAGGAGGCAATTTTAACTTTGTTCCAGTCAGTAGCGTTTGATTACAGTCTCCTCAAACATTGGTTTCAAATAATTTCTCAGAGCTTTAAGATTTGTTGTGTTTCTAACTGTACAGATTGTCCAAACACTACAGGTTATAAGAGACTTTGATTTTTTAATTAATAGCAACAAAACTTCATATGGTCACTTGTAGCTAGAATTCTTTCATATTGTAGCTAGAATTCTTTCATATTGTATAATCAAGCACTGAAATATTACCATTCCCATTCCTTGATTTTTTTTTTATTTATTATTGTCACATGTACCAAGATAAAGTGAAAAGTGTTGTATTACATGCTCTACATGCAGATAACACCATACAAAGTGCATCAGGTAGCAGAACAGAGTCCAGAAAACAATGTTACAGTGGCAGAGAGTGAGAGATCAACATTAACATTTGAGAGGTCCATTCAAAAGTCTGATAACAACGAGGAACAAGCTGTTCTTGAATCAATTCGTACATGTATTCAAAGTTTTATATCTTTGGCCTGCTGGAAGAGAGTATGACTGTGGTGGGAAGGGACTTTGATTCTATTGCTTGCTTTCCTCAGGCAGCGGAAAGTATGGATGAAGTCAGTGGATGGAAGGCTGCTTAGAGTGGTGGACTGTACAATACCATGTTTGAAGCAGTCTTTTACGTTTGTAGTATTTCTCATTGAATTATTCTAAAAGAACTAAATATAAATCATGGACTTGCTTTACCAAACTGCAAATCAGTCAAATAACAAAGTGTTAACTCCTTGCAGGCTAGAAAATACATTGAATCTTTACCATACATGCCTCAAAAAGATTTGAAAGAACTATTCAATGGTGACAATCCTTTAGGTAAGATGTTCTGCATTTAAACTGGATGGAAGTAATCTGTATGGGAATAACTGTTGTGACTTGTAGGCTCCGGTCTTAAAGATCTTTCTTGTAATAAATGCAAAATATCATTGCATAAGTGAGCACGAACGGAAGTTATTATAGTTTATGCTGCACTCTCAGCCTTAGCTAATCATCCAGATTTCACAACTGAAAGTTCATCTTCATATAATACATCAAATAGTTTATTATTATAGAATGAAATATATTTAATACACAACTTCAAAAATAATTGACGGAATATAGAGTCATGTAGTCATAGAGTCATTCAGCATGGAAACAGATCCTTAAGTCCAACATGTCAGCGCCGACCAGACATCCCAATCTGACCAAGGCCCATTTGCCAGCATTTGGCCTGTATCCCTCTAAACCCTTCCTCTTCACGTACCCATCCAACGGCTGCAAGATGGTAAGGGTAATGATAAACGATGCACAAAACTGGCTCCACAAATACAACAGAGAAATTACGCGCCAAAAAATGTTATTTCAGGAAGCTACCAATCCAGACTGGACAACCGACATGGAACGAGCCTTTAGCATCAGCCGACAGACCACAAGAGCCAAGAAAAGACAGACCCTGCAAGACAAGCTAACCACACTTACCCACAAAAGCAACAACAACAGAACTGACACATGGATAAGGAACCTCTCCGACAGGAAACTGACAGACACGGAAAAAGCCGTTCTCACCCGGGGACTGAACTACAACTACAGGGACGCCAACAAAACGGAATGGCTAGCTACACTGGAAGCCACACTCAAGACCAACAATATCAACAAAGAAACACAACAAACTATAAGACAGACAGTAGTCCCGACACTAACCAGAAAGAGGGAACTCAACACCCTCAACACACGGGAAAGACAAGCCCTGGACAGATTAAAGAAGGACAAGAACATCACTATACTACCTGCAGACAAAGGGCGCATGACAGTGATAATGAATAAAAAGGACTACATCTCCAAAGCACAAGCACTGCTCGCCAACGAGAACACATACCGACCAGTACAAACTGACCCGACACCACAACTAGGCAACAAAATCCTATACACGCTACAAAGACTTAAACAAACAGGACAGATCAACAAAACAGACTTAAGAATGAAACCCGAAGGAAACAACACACCCCGATTCTACGGCCTCCCTAAAGTGCACAAACCGGAAGTCCCCCTCAGACCCATAGTCTCCCTACCAGGCACTCCATCGCACAGATTAGCCAGAGAACTACAAAGAAGACTCAAGCACCTAGTCAACAAATCACCCCACTCCATCCACTCAGCCCAAGAATTCCTCAACTCCATCAAAGACCTAAAGATAGAGGACGAAGAGACCATGATATCTTTTGATGTCACTGCCCTATTCACGTCAATAGACATACCACTAGCAAGGGAAACAATGACAACACTACTTGAACAAGAACACGACCCCACTGAAACCACCTCCAAGGACAACATGCTTAAACTACTGGACCTATGCGTGACCACCCACTTCACCTTCAAAGGCCAAACATACGAGCAAATCAACGGGACACCCAAGGGATCGCCTATCTCCGGACTGATAGCAGAAGCAGTGATGCAAAGACTGGAAAGGATTGCCCTTCCGCAAATCCAACCTAAACTATGGATATGCTACGTAGACGACACCTTTGTCATCATTAAATGGACCAAATTAGAAGAGACACACAAACTCATAAACAACACCCTCACTGGAATAAAATTCACCAGAGAGGAGGAGAAGAACAAACAACTCCCATTCCTGGACGTCATGGTAGAGCACAAGACAAATGGGGAACTGCAAACGAAAGTACACCAAAAAGCCACACACACAGACCAGGTATTGAACTTCAATAGCAACCATCCCAGCACACACAAATGAAGCTGCTTGCGAGCGCTATTTAAAAGGGCAACAACACACTGCAGCAACATGGAACTACGCAAAGAGGAGGAGGAACACCTCTTCCAAGTGTTCAAGGATAATGGATATCCAAAGAACTGGGTCAGGAGATGCCTACAGGAACAGCATCAGAAAGATTCTACACGCCCTGACACACTCATCACACTACCCTACGTCAGGAACACGTCCGAACTCACCACAAGACTTCTATGACCGCTGGGCATCAGAGTGGCACACAAACCCACATCAACCCTACAACAAGTGCTCACCCGAACTAAAGACCCACTCCCCACCATGGACACAACCAATGTCATCTACAAGATCCCCTGCAGAGACTGCGAGAAACACTACATCGGACAAACAGGAAGGAAACTAACAACGAGTTCATGAACACCAACTGGCTACAAAAAGACACGACCAATACTCACTCATCTCAATCCATATGGACAAGGAGAACCACGACTTCGACTGGGACAACACCAAGATCCTGGGACAGGCTAGGCAGAGACAAGCACGAGAATTCCTGGAAGCATGGCACTCCACGAAGCAGGCTATTAATAAACACATTGAACTCGACCCCATATACATTCCACTACAGAGGAAACCCGGAAGTGAGGCAATCCATTGCAATGGACCCCAGAGTTTAAAAACCAGGCAGGAAAACACACCGACGCTTCATCAGAGGCTGCACTGAGGAAGTTACCCAGCACGGTAACAAAACGTCTGCGGAACAACAAACCAGCTCGGCGAGCCAACCAACCTCAACACCCACAACCCAAGCTACAGATCTACTCCAAAACCTTAGAGACTTACTGTATGAACAAGGAACAAAAGTAGGCTATGGCCTTTCAAGCACGCTCCGTCATTCAATAAAGTCATGGCTGGTCTGATTTTAACATCAAATCTACATTCCTATATACCCTGAATCTTTCAGCCCACTGGTAATCAAGAATCTACCTTTGCCTTAAAAATAGCTTAAAATTCTGCATCCGCAGAAATTCCAGAGACTCGTAAGCATCAGAGGTGGGGGAAAAGAAGTGTCCTTATCTCTGTTTTAAATGGGCATCCTCTTACTTTTAAACTATGACCACCTAGTTCTAGATACTCCCACAAGAGGAAACATCCTTTCCACAACCACCAGTCAGACCCATTCAGGACCTTTTCATGTTTCGATTAAGTCATCTCTGACTTCTACATTCCACAGGATACAGACATGGCCTGAGCAGCCTTTCCTCAAAAGGCCACCTGCTCATTTCGGGTATTAGTCAAGTAAAGATTCTCTGAACTGCTTCTAATGTATTAACATCCTTCCGCATGTAAGGTGACCATTACTGTACACAGTACTCCAGCTGCTGTATCACCAATGCCCCATATAACTGAAGCATAATCTCACCACATTTGCTCTCAAATCCCTTTGCAATAAACCATAACATTCTACTTGCCTTCCTGATTACTTGCTGTACCCTGTGATTCATGCACTAGTTCACCCAGGTGTCACTGCATCTCAAAGCTCAGCAGTCTCTCTGCACTTAGATAGTATGCTTTGTTTTTTATTCTTTCTACTGAAGTGGACAGTTTCACATTTTCTGACATTGTACTCCATTTGCAGATCTTTGCCCAATCACTGAACCTATCTATATTCTTTTGTAGGCTCCTTTTATCCTCTTCACAACTATCTTTGTGTCATTGGCAACTTTAGCTATAATACCTTTGGTCCCTTCATTCAAATTATTTACGTAAATTTTAAAGAGTTGAGGCCCTAGTAAGAACTCTGTGGCTCACCACTTGTGACACCCTGCGAGCCTGAAACAGACCCACTTATTCCTACAGTATTGAATGTAAATAGCCTAGTACCCATTTTAGATAACTAACCCAGATCTATGAAAATCATCAGAAGAAAATATGGTATTAAGATATTTTACAGAAGTAGACCTAAATCAGTCATTTTTACTATCTGAAAAGTGAATGCAAAATCGACTAATGTAACCACTGGGACAGTGACCCTGGTGCTTAACAATTGAGAAGCTTTCTGAACCAAAAAGTAATGTGTGAATGATTTCATTAGGCACAAGAGCAGAATCAGGGGTTGAGTAATTTAGTGTGCTGATGTGCATATTAGGTATTGAGAAATTCGCCAAGGCTGGATAGATTGAATTTCTCACTTGCTTTGAAATTGGTTAACTCTGAAGATATAAGATAGAAAATTTGGTTTCTGGAAGTGAGGAAGCGCTATGCCTGATATATTTGAATGACAAAAAACAAGGGGTAGGTCTTCACAGAGGCAAGTAGCCATGAAAATTGAGCCTGCAGTTAGCATTCTCGTTTGCTGGCACACACTCACACTGGATTATTTTCCCAATGGCAGAATTGGCAGCCAAAGGGCTACTTGCTTCCTAAAGGCATGTCAAAAACCTAATGGTCTTTTGCAGATGTCTGCAAATGTCCTGAGGCATGATGGAACAGTCAGGCCATCCACGGGAAAGCAGTTTGTTATTTGGCACACGAGGGCCAGGCACTCTAGGCAGACTTTGTGGACTTTTTGCAACTGCAGGCTACCCTGTGGAGGGAATTCCATGATGGGATCCTCTTTAAATGAGAGCTTTTAAAAAGTACACAGAGGGTGCCTCAAAATGAAGGGGCCCTCTCTGACTCTGTCTCTCACCTCCCCTCCAGCTTCAAGGGCCTACCCAACATCCTCAATTCAACAGCGAGCACACGCTCTGTCTGATGGTTTGTCAGTCTGCGAAGAACTACTGCTGGGTGACAGTTTCCACACAGTGTGTGGTTATGATTTGATTAGTCAGTGGGGGCCTGATGCAAAAGGCAAAGGCAAAGTCCTGCCTGGCTTTCAATTAACCTATTCTATCCCTCCCTCCTAAAGAATGCTTCTTCAAGACAGTGGGTGCTAGTTTAACTTGTTTGAAGTTCACACATAAATTGCAATGTGGCCATTATGAGGGGTAAATATAATTTAGATGTTATATGTAAACCTTTTATATAGTTTATCTTGGTCCCTTCCAATCATAGCTGTAGATCTGCTTCAGAAGATGCTTATACTTGACACTGATAAGAGGATAACTGCAACAGATGCTCTGACTCACCCTTACTTTGCTCAGTATCATGACCCTGATGATGAACCAGAAGCAGAACCATATGATGATTCAATAGAAAATAAGGAACGAACTATAGAGGAGTGGAAAGGTAAGTATAATTTGACACTTATAGAGATATGTACTCTTTCTGTTCAGTTGTTCCATATATTGGGCATCTTAAAAATTTGGATGGTCTCATATTCTTCCATTTGTTGGATCAACCTACGAACATCTCTGCCACTGTAAGTGGGTATATGGACCAACCAGTGTAATGTTGAGCCACCTTTGGCATTGATTGCGTCTCTCCAAGAAAGGCTGTTAGTCCTGCTCTTTGGGAGGTCACTTCAAAGGAAAATGATCCAAACTGAAAGTAATTTGCAATTCTTTCAGTGCTACTCTCCATGTCGGCATGTCCACCAATTGTGGGCTGTCAGAAGAATATACCAAAAGAACGAAGAGGGCATGAGAATCCCAAAATTGAATCAGGCGTCACAACACAGGCCAGAGAATGAGAACAGGATAAGGTAGATTAGCTAGATTTGATGTTAAATACAAATGAAATACGGAGCCAGATAATTTACATCAGCCAATGGAAGTGCATAATGAAAAAAACAGTGTCATTATCCAGGGAAACTTGCTGTGTATAGAATAATAAGAGCACTTAAAGGGAGCAGCATCCTTTATTTAACCCAGTTTTTTTTTTCTGTCAACAGACCTTGCAATAAATTACAGTTTTGAAATCATTAGCAACACCCAATCATCAGGTTCAAAACTGGATCCTGGCAAATTTAAATTTCTTTCTAAATCCCTGTCAGTAAGAATAAAATTCTTCATTCATGTAGGAGGGCCCTGTACTTTTATTAAAGATTTTGGAATGTTCACAGTCACGCTATTTTACTACAATTATAGGAACATGCCCCACAAACATAAACAACAATTTGTACACTGTTGTTATAAAACAAAAGGACATTTTACAAATTATCTTGCATTACTGTGATCACTTCAGAAAGTGATTTTATAAAAGGACTTCAAAATTTTTTGACATGGGAGGTACTAAATATTATTATTATGGTTTATTCTAGTGAATAATAGAAGGTAAAATGCAATTTTATATTCACAGAACTTACATTTGGGGAGGTAAACAGCTTTGAGTTGCCACAATCTACAATGGATAACATGGAGATGGAACCCTAGGAGCAGCCTCATTAAACACGTTATTAAGAAATAAGAAGCATTTCAGCTGCCTGCTGGTGAATGACTTGCTGGAGAGCTACATTTTCACCACCTCTACAGGTTATCACACAACAAATTGATAACTTAGTTATCGCTGTCTTAAACCAAAAACAATTGAATGTATTTTGAAATTTAATTTGGTTTAACCATGACTTTTTGCATGACTTCTTCTGTAAACAGTTAATAAACCAAATCATGTCTGGCATTCATCCTAAGTTTATCAATGGCTTTTTATGTCTATATCAATACCTGTTGTTATTGCTGCTAAAGTTGGGCAATGTTGCTGACTCATTCAAAACTTTTGAAAGCACAAATGTCTTCAAGATGTCACTTGACAACTATACCATTTACTTTATCTGAAACCTGATCATTCTTCAATTATTTATGATTCACAAACCAAAAATCAGAAAAATTCAAAATAAAATTTTATTGTCTTCATCTCTGTTACATGTACATTTTAAGCATGGTTTCACACAAGCTTTTGATGCTTTGCTATTTTATTTAGTGGTAGAAAAACACATTTTAGGTAGTCTATATTTTGTGTTAAATTCGTGGATATTAATGACAAAGAAGACAATTGAACTTCTGTTAATGGACAGCTCTTCAACTGAGACTGTCAACTCCAATCACTATCTTCATTGCAAAATTAGAGCACATTGCATGTTTGATTTGTGAAGTTAGTAGCATTGTTATGTCAACAGTTGGGTCCTGAAATGCTTACATTTATCAAAGAACTCCTGTGCAAGTAGGAAATTCCTACTATCTATGGACTTCAACTTTACAAGAGCTGTTGCTAGGACAAATATGCTGTTCGATATCAATAGGTAAAAGAATAACCGAGTGGAATGGTTCCTCTGTATTGTGTTTTAAAAAACAGTAAGTTCTTTACAAACTAGTTTATTTTGTTATATCTAGCATGAACAGAATGTTTCCCTTGGCTATTTCAATACTTAAAAGTTGTGCAAGCAGTGTATAAGCCCACCCACAAAGGTGAAGATAATTGTTTAAAAGTGCATTAAATTTCACATGCCATAACAAAAAAAAAGTGAAGAAATGACAGTCCTTTATAACATTGTTATGAAATATTTATGAACTAAAATCAAGTGATTTATAAAACTTACAGCATACATTAATCTAAAACTATAATAGCCTATAGCAAATACATTTCTTTTCAATCACAAGAATCCTCACAACTATTTTTATTTTCTGACAGATGAATTTTAAGATAATTACTAAGTATTGAAAAGAACTCCCCCTTCTTGCAATTCCTTGATGATGAAATAAATTAGCATATATGAACAGTATTTATCGACAGCCATGGGAATATATTTAAACTACTATCATCCTTACATTGTGTCAGTTTCCAAGGCAGAGGCTCAAATGTAGCTGTGGGCCTTGCTTGCACTGTTTGCCCAATTTGGAGATAGGATTTTATAATAGAAAAAGTTAATATGAAACGGCAACAGGAAGGAAGGTTTTTTTCAGATAGTAAATGTCAGCATGTAACAGTTTAAGGTGATAGAAACAGGAACAGGAGGAATCCTGCTGGAATTGTCAAGATATCTTTCATTTTATGCCTCAATGTCAACTAGGTCTTTATGAAAACAATAGAAGAAAAGCACAAAGAAATTGTAGCTAGGTTCAGAAATTAAAAATAGACCCAACAAATTTAATATTCTTCGATATTCATCTATTGTAAGAAAATTAATTTAAAAATTACAGTAGGTAGACAACAAACTCAATATTTGAAATCTATAAAAATAAACATATGTTCCTTTATTTAAAAAAAACCAAAGCTACGGATGCTGGAAACCTGAAACAGAAACAGAAATTGCTGGGGATACTCAGCAGATATGGCAGCATTTGTGTAGAGAAAGCAGAGTTAACGTTTCGGGTCCAATGACCCTTCTTTAAAACTGATTGTATCGAGGAAATGGTTGGTATATATGCTGAAGATGTGGTGGACGAGGTTGGAGGAGTAAACAGTTGGTGGGGATGAAGCCCAGGGAGAGAAAATAACAGTTGGGCAGATAAAGGAATGGGCAAAGATCACCCTGGGGTTTCAATGGCTGCTAAATTGGGACCATTAGTGTCTGATATTGCGGTGGTTGTAATAGCATCCCATGTGATGATAAAGGCCTGATGTGTGGGGCATGGGGTAAGAACATGAGGGAAAGGGGCCCCAGTTATGCTTATCACTTTGTGGATTATATGGAACATTCCTTGTTCCAGCCCCACCCACAACTCCTTCTCTGGTACATCAATGGTATCATCAGTGCTGCTTCCCTCTCTCGTTCGAAATTGGACAAGTTGATCTGTTTCATTTCTAATTCCCACCCAACTCTCACCTTCACTTGGGCCATCTTTGATTCCCTGCTTCACTTCCTTGGCAACACCATTTTCATTTCTGGGAACAGGCTGGCCACCAATATCCACTACAAACTCACCTGCTCCTACAGTCACCATGATACATTCTCACACCCCACCTCCTGTAAAGATTCTAATCCATTCTCCCAGTTCCTCCATATCTGTCACATTTGTTCTGACAATGCCAACTTCAGCAAGGGAGCCTCAAAAATGTCCACCTGCTCAATCGAGGATTCCCCACCACCCTGGTTGAGAGGGCCCCCCAGCTGTGTTTGACCCATCTCTCGCACTTCAGCCCTCACCCCTTCTCTTCCCTTCCACAACAGAAATAGGGTCTCCTTGGTGCTCACTTACCATTTCATTAGCATCCACATCTAAATGATCATTAGCCACCAGTTCCACTACTTCTAGTGGGATGCCACCACCAGACGCATATTCCCCTGGCCTCCATTGTCAGCCTTCCACAGGGACTGTTGCCCTCCGAGACACCTTGCTCCAGTCCTCTTCTGCTCCCAAAACCTCCACACAACACTTTCCCATGCAATTACATTAAGTGTAACGCTTGCCTGTTTACTTCCTCCCTCCTCACTATCCAAGGTCCCAGACACCTTCCAGGCAAAGCAGTGCTCTATCTGCAGTTCATTCAATCTAGTCTACTGTATTCGCTGCTCACAATGGGGTCTCCTGTACACTGGGAGACGAAGCACTTTATAGATTACTTACATTGTGTCTGCAAAAATGATCCTGAACTTTCTGTTGCCTGCTACTTCAATACACCACTGTGTTCCCTGGCCAACATCTCTGCCTCAGGCTTGCTTCAGTGCTGTAGTGAAGCTGGAAGAACAGCACCTCATTTTCCACTCGGGAACTGTACAGCCTTTGAGACTCAAGATAGAGTTCTGTAATTTTAGGTAAAAACTGAAAAAAAAAACTGTGGATGCTGTTAATCAGAAACAAAAACAGAAGAAATTGCTATAAAAGCTCAGTAGGTCTGGCAGTATCTGTGGAGAGAAATCAGAGTTAACATTTCGGGTTGAGTGTATTCTGAGGAAGGGTCACTCAACCTGAAACGTTCACTCTGATTTCTCTCCACAAACGCTGGCAGACCTGCTGAGCTTTTCCAGCAATTTCTGTTTTCGTGTCAGTAATTGTAGAACTTGAGCACTTCCTTCTATGTCCCTAACCCAACCTCCACACACCAGGCCCTGTCATCACATGGGCTGCTACCACAACCATCCCATTATCAACCATTAATGGTACCAATTAGCAGCATTTCACTCTCCCAGGCTGACCTTTACCCATTTGTCTGTCCAACCGCTTTTTTTTCTCACTGGGCTTCATCTCCACCTGTTTTTACTCCTCCGCCCTCCCATCTTCAGCATTTCTACCAACATTTTCCTGGATACAATGTTCTGAAGAAGGGTCACTGGACCCGAAACATTAACTCTGCTTTCTCTCCACAGATGCTGCCAGATCTGAACTTTTCCCAGCAATTTTGTTGTTTACGTTCCTTTAATGACTTAAACACTTACATTGTGATGTTTTCATGAGATGTAGTTAGAATAAATGGTCAGAAATTCAACTACTAGGTTAAAAGGTTTGCAGACAGACAATAAAGACAAAAGGAAGCAGTGTGCAATGTTTTGGTTAAAGATGGACTACTTGCAGAAAACGATTGCTATGTTTCACAATGTAGAGCTGATTTTTTTTTTGATTCAGCTGTACTTACTCATAATTACACATTGACACCCTTTTGAGTGCTACAGGTTAAGGGACTATTAATTTGGGCCCAGATGAGAAGGGATTTTGAATTGGAACTCTCATCTGGGCTCCTGTGTTGTTACTGGGTCAAGACAACAAAAAAAAAAATCCAAGTACCCTTCTTCAGTGCAGGCCACCACTAATTTAAATAGCCCAATAAAAGTACCTGTGAAAAATGTTTTGAGCCACTATTCATTGAAGAGACAATCATTACCTAGGGTTCCCCATCAGTTGTAGAAACAACTTAATTCAATAAAATCTGTAATATTAAGGATTGTAAATTCCAGAATTCAATGGGCCAGTGGTTTCCCATCCAAAATCCATTGGGGAGAATAATTGAAAAGATTTGTAGCTATGATAAACAATTATTTCCTTGTGCAACGTCTATTTGGAGAAACTAGGAGGGTGGACCAGGTTTTTAGTAGTAAACCTGATGAATTATCAGAACTCCATATGGAGAAACGCCCAGGAATCAGTAATCATAATATTATTAGATTTGAATTGTTCCATCAAAACAAAGCCATTAAACAATTACAAAAGGGGTTAGATCTGGAATTGAGGTGCTGAATTGAGCAAGATTGACTGCATGCTCCTCCTGTTGAGGCTGGTATTCAACCGTTCCCATGGGAAGATGCAGGGACAGAGCATAAATCTTAAATAATTACTTAACATCCATGTAGTTTTCTACAACAAAGACAAATTACAAATGATACATCATAGGGCTGATGTAAAGTTGCATGCACCAAAGTAATTGTGGATATCCTGGCTGGAATAAAGTATATCAAAACAATTTGACTACTGGTCCTGACAGCTGTTCACAGAAATAGGGACAGTATCCTGCAAATGTATTATTCATGTATTTCAGAGCTGACCATACTCTGAGACTAACCAAACAACTGGAGAGAGGTCCATCTAAACCCTATATTTTAAAAGATTGTATAGCCAATCTAGAAATTATGTACCCATTAGCTCAAATTCAGTTATAACAAATTATAGACTCAAACTCATTGACATTTAAAGCACAGAAAGATCTACCACAATTACTCTTTCCTTGACTTGGTCTAATAGCCCATTTTATTTATAGTGCCAACTGCTAATATATCTGAACAAGAAGAGGCTTTTAACAAGAAGTAGCTTAAGCAATGATAGCAATTATTTACAGGTTACATTAGCTAGTTAGAAATTGTTACTAACACTATAAAAGAGACATAAATAAATCTGTCCCCTTCAACTATTGGGAGAATTATTCATCCAATTTCCCCACCCAAAACCGTATGACATCAGATTTAATGGAGTCTCCAACATTAACT